AGGGACCCTGGGACAACTGAGCAGGACCCACCCTGGCCAGGGAGGGGTCAGGAAAGTTTCCTGGAGGAGGAGGTCCCACAAGGGTCACCCACAGGTGTTCATTGACATGATAAAACGTCCCCAGCCCTTTGTTGAGAAGGGAAAAGCCAAGATGGAGCAGCATAGAGCCGAGGTGACAACCGGCCTCACCTCTTGCTCTGTGTGGTGTGGGCGTGGTGGCCTGTGGGTGACCAGGCACTGATGGTTCATCTTTGGTGACAGGAGTTGGAGTCACAGCCTTTTGACCTTCACCATAGACTTAAGGGACTGCTGTGGAAGTCCACGCAGCCAGGATGTGACCAAATGGCAGGCTCTTTCTTTGGGGAGGGTGGTGGGTGACTAGGGCGTCCTTACCTGTCTGGGAGTCGTCACTCCGGGACCCCAGCAGGACCGGCCCTCACCAGGGTCACCTCTGAGAGTGGGTTGGAGGCTTTGGTCTGGAGAGGTCTGACTCAGGCTTCATCCTCAGCACATTCCTGGCCCCGCGACCACCCAATCTCCCGTTACCTCAGAGGTTCTCCCAGACCAGTGGAGCTTGCCTCATGGTCACTGGTGATCCCAGGAGCACGGGTGTCCCCTGCACCCATCCTTGCTGATCACTGGCCTACATCATCTCATTCCGTCCTCAGAGCCACCATTTGGCATGGATGGTCCTGAGTCCCCAGTCTCTGTCCCTGAGGGCCTGGGTCACCTGGGGCAAGTTGCTTCACATCTCTGTGCTCCAGTTTTCTGGTCTTGAATTGGGGAAAGCTGTGGCTTCACTGCCCACTGTTCAGAGGCTCAGCATGTCCCCGGTCCTCACGGGGCACTCGGGTGCTGCGTGGAACTCCCCAGGAGATGGTAGCTAGTGTGGTGCCTTCGCAGAGGACAAAGCCAAGGCGGGGTGGTAGTCTTCTGCTTATGCTCTACTAGTGGCAGCTTCCTGTCTGTAAAGCCCAGGTTCCCAGGTGCTGAAGGGTGGGACCCTCAGGACTGTGGCTGTCACTGCAGGCGTGACAATTGCCCTTTCTCATGCAGGTGGAATTCTGCAAGTCCATTGGGGACCCAACAAAGCCCGAGCCTGGAGCAAACATGCCCAGAGACCAAGGCAGCCTGAGCAGCCCTCACAAGGTTCCTTCCCCCTGGAAATTAAGAAGGTATGCAGGTGACCGAACCAGCACCGGGCCTGTGTGGGCAGGTGGTGGCTGTGGAGGGGTCTGTAGTTCCATCTGCCCTCCCC